TGAGGGGCTGACAGGTGGCATGGTGGTTGAGGCACTGGACTTCCATGTGGCCTACTGTGGTTCGAGTCCTGGACCTGGTGGCTTGCTTTCTCACTTCCCTTCACTCTCTCTGGTTAAATTAAATAATAATAATTTTAAAATAATAATTAAAAAATAAAGTAGATGAATGATCGCTGGACTATAAAACATAAAATTAATTCACTGATAATCATGAACTGAATTGTTAAGAAAATCCAAACGCTCACATTAGTAAGTCTAGTAAATCTTTCCTTGTGAGGCAAATCTACTTGGGAAGCCCAACTAATGAAAAGCCTGCCTAGTGAGCCTAAAATCAAAGCAAGAAATATTATATATATGACTTAAACTCTTCCCTTCTGTTTTTGATTGACATTTCAACTTCCATCCTAGTGAGGGAATGGCCTTGTATTTTCCTGCCTGAAAATAGTATGTGGTAACAAAAAGGATCTGAACTGACCGGTATGATTTCTCTCATCCCAAGCCAATTACACACTAGAAGAATGTATTCTACCAAATCCCATTTTGAACATCTCCTGAGTTAAGGACATGAATAAATATCATAAATCTGCCAACACTTGTCTTATAAACACTGGTTATGACCCAACCAATCCATGCAGGTACACATAGTATTTTCTTTACTTCTTTTACATATGGGTGTTCTAGTTATAGTGCAATTTACTCAGGTAACTGGAACCAAGACTCCTATTCTATTTCCATCAATATCCTTGGCTTACTCCACTTATAAAGTCCCAATATTTTCTGTATCTTATTGGTTATATGATATATCTCGCACAGTCAGCCAAAATTCCCTCCTTGCTACAATTTTATTTGCATTAACTCATCTTAATAGAAAAATATTTCCAATCTTCATCTTCTTGCATAAAACCTTTTATAAAATATTTATAATTACAACAAAGTTTTTAAACTTTATTTTTAACTTTTAAAAATTGATAAAAATGCATATATGCATCATGTACAATATATTTTTTGAAATATGTATACATTGTGAAGTGGCTAAATAAAGCTAACTAATATATGCATTACCTCACTTACTTATTTTTTGTGGGAGAGCACTTAAAATCTATCCTAAATTATTGTTAAGAATGCATTTTATTGGTATTAACTATAGTCACCATGTTGCACAATAAATCTCTTGAACTTATTTCTTCTAGCTCATTGAAATCTTTTGACCCATATCTCTCCAATCCCCTCCACCACCCAAACCAGCTGCCGGTGGCCACCGTTCTACTCTCTACTCCTATGAGTTCTACTTTTTTAGACTCCACAAATAAGTAAGATCATGGGTACTGTGTGATGTGTGTGCACGCGTGTGGCTTTTCTCCTGTGTGTTTTTATTGTTCTTATTTTTTTTAATTCATGGTCTCTTATTTCACGATCTGCCTCAGGCACATGCCAACACACCTGGCTTTTCAGGGTGGGCTGAGAATCAAACTCAGACCTCCATGTGGCCTCAGTCAGCTGAACAATGTGTACGATCTTGGTTCGGCCTGACTTGTAATTTTTAAATTTGGCCTATATGTTTTAATTTTATTTTTTGTCAGTCAATACCAGCACAATTCCCTCCTTCCATACAAAAGATCACCTTTTTCTTCAATAATCTTTGCAGATGATCCAGCTATCATCCTGAGCAATGCTGCACGGACACTGCAGTGTTTTCTGTTTCATGCTGATCACCCACTTCTGGGTGATATGCTTCTCCTGGAAATGTTAACACTATCAATTACGTTTGAGCTGGACTCTGAAGCTCCTCCTATTCTGGACTGGCATGAGTTCTCTCTTCAGGATTATTGTCATTACCTAATCTTAACTATTGTGTTTAATCATTTAACTCTCAGTGTTGTAAGGTCCTCCCTAGCACATCTGTATCTCCTCCCACCATTATCTTCTCTCTTTATGTCTACATGAATACAAAAGTACATATTCATAATGGTGATCTTGTGACCCTAGGTAATTTTTTTTTCTTTTCTTTTCTTTTTGAGTGAGAGACAAAGAGATTTTTGCACATGTGCTCACCAGAGAAACAGAAAGTGAGAAATCACCCCTCTAGGGGGCATGGCCGTGCTGCAATCCCTTCTCCTCCATTCTCCTTTTGGGATTTTGGACACACATGCACACACACCAGATGTGCGTTTTAAGCTGCTGGGCTGAGGACTCAAATCTCAGTCAACTACATGAGAATCCAGCGATGTAACCATTACACATTTGCTAGTCCCTAAAATTTCTTCTGAGTCAAGAAAAACTACTATTCAAGATGATTTTGGAGTTGGTATACTTAAATGGACTATGATTCTTTAAAAATGTGCAATTCGTTTTTTTCTAACTAAGAAATGTTATTAGAATATGTATTTAATAAAAACAATTCATTCCTGATCCATTAAAAATAACAGCTTATTGGTCATTTCATATAGAACGTATTTTATGATACTACGTTTCAGTCATTTATGTATTTTGTCAAATGATCTCATATCATTTCTATTATCTGCTAGCAATAAAATAACCAAAATCTTATGAAACTAGATAGTTCAAGAAAGCATCTGTGAGCTTTGGAGAAGCTGTGAGCTTTGCAGAAGACTGTCCTGCTCATCTTTGTATGCCTAGCAACAGCCCACAGCTGGTACTTTGTAGGAGGAGGAGAAGCAGAAGGAAGAAAGAAAAGAAAGAAATACCTTTGCAGATGAGATATATACTTATCGATATATTTTATAGTACTTGGAATTTCATTTCTTATCATGCTAGGAAGAACAAGTGTCCCTGAGAAGGAGAGAGGTTATAGATAATGATTTAAAAATAAAGATAAAATAAATAAATCAATAGTACTGTGAATATTCTGTTTTCCTCATATGTGACTAAGGAGTGACTCAGGCTGACTTGGGGAAGTGTCCTGAATCTTTACGTAGTCACATATACCCCATTCTTGTACTTGAAGCAGAGCTTGTGAGCTAGTCTAGACCATAGACAAAATTCTGTAAGAGATACGATATTTTGTTTAGCCAGTTTAGGAAGAGTCCTGGCTGGAGGCACAAAAAAATGAGGCAGGGAAGAGTAATTCACTTGGGTGATAGCCAAGAGGAAGGGCAGCACTTCTTCATGACTCCTGTGGCTCTAAATGCCTCATCATAATTTGAATTGATGTCCAGAAACTCAGTTGGAATGGTACTCAGTGATAGCATTCCAAGCACTGCCCAATGCCCAGATCTCCTCTTAACTATCCCAGAGGAGTGGCCACCAAGCCTTCACCTGAGACCCTGAGCAAAGGGACATGTGATTGAAGTAGTCAACCCCCTTTCAAACTCTTGTTTGAAACTCTGAAACTGTAAATATTGAGGAACCAGATGACAGAATGGCATCTCTTAGAGGTGGACACAAACAGGAAGTTTCCGTGTTTGTCTGGAGACCTCCCTGAGTACACTGAGCTTGTGTGTACCCATGATCTACGGCTGGCTGAAGCTGCAGGTGGATTGCTGCATAAAGACCAGGTTGGCAGGAGTCTCTCAAGGGGGGCCTTTCTGTGTCTCTCTCTCTCTCTTTCTCTCTCATTCATTGAAGAAATGGATGAATAAGCACTAAAAATAATTAATTATTGGAGTTATTCCCTGTAATGAGCCGACATTTTCCTTCTTGGAACTTCTACCTGAAGAGTTAGCTCTGTTACCTAAAGCCACACAAGTAAGCTACACATTAAATTCCTCACAGACAGAAGGAAAGTCATACCCATCCCCCAGGGGGGATTTCCTTTAGGTTAAATAACCATATCTTTATGGGCACATCATCCCATTTCAATCTTTCAAGTTCCTTTAAAAGTGAGATGCCCAAGTCTGGAGAAGGGATTGTGTCATGACCATTGACATCACCATGGGGGTGATCTTTCTTCTTCTTCTCTTTCTAGCTCTTTGCCTCTCTATGGCAAGTACATGAGCTCTCTAGCCAAAAAAAAAAAAAAAAACCTATAGTATATATACATATGTGTGTGTGTATATATGTGTGTGTGTGTGTGTGTGTGTGTGTATAAAACATTCCTTTTTAACATTGTCCCCAGCCTCCAAATAAACATAGTTTGAAGATAGGGAATGAAACCTCAGTAAGGAGAGAATCTTGCAAGTTAGAAGGCAAAGCTTTTGATGAGTATATTAGTTAATTAATGATGAATAATAAATTACTCCAAAACTTAGTGGCTTAAAACAACATACACTGGGACCAGTCTATGGTGTGGAAACTAAGGTGACTGGATCCCACATGGTCAAATGTATAGCTTAAGTCCTGGGCTTGAGAAACAAACCAGGTGCACATGTGTGCATACCCTAAACCCAAAAGAAGGGGATATGAGGAGAAAGGATTGTGGTGTTACCGTTCCCCACAGGAGGTGCCTTCTCACTTTCTTTATCTCTGTCTCTCTTTGACAAGCATAAGTGCCCTCAGGCAAATTTTTAAATGCATATTTATCATATCAGAGAATTTGTGGTCAGGAATCCAGGTGCAGCTCAGAGGATCTGCTTCCACTCTCATTCATATGGTTGTTGGCAGGTCTCAAGTCCTTGCTGATTGCTGGAGACATCAGTTCCTGTCACATACACGACTCTCTCCAGGGTCAGCTAACAATATAATAGATGGTTTTTCTCAGAGTAAGCCAGAAACCACAGCCTTTTATAACCTAATCTTATAGAGGATGCCCCCTCGATCCCACTGCATTCTGTTTGTTACAAATAAATTAGTAAATACATTCCACACCCAAGACAGGGTGGATCATATACGAGCATGCACATCAGGAGGCCAGGATCACTGGGGACCAGCTTAGAAGCTGACTTCCACAGTGAGGTTATGCCATCTTGTCAAGAAGTGTGCAAATGCACACACATGATGTCTGTTTCCAAACTCACGGCTTTGAATTTTCCGGGAAAATGGAGGCTGTTGCTGATAAGGTATTGTAATGTCAGAGAGAAAAGGATCTCAGACAGCCCCCTTACCTGACGTGATAAAATCGAAGCCCAGAGGTGTGGAGCGGTCTGTCCAGGTTGCACATTAGTTTGTTTTCAGTTTCTGGCTTTAACCTAGGCTGACTCATGGTTCACTGCTCTTTTCACTTGAATTAATTTTCCATCTCGGCCTGGACAAGGGCATTCATTTTCACAGATGTTAGAGATGAATATTAGCATTTGGTCTCCCTTCTCAAATTTGTGAATTCACTTGTCCCTGAGTTCCAAGGCCAGTGTTTAAAAAAAATAGCAAATTATTAAGCAGATATTACTGCTGAACAAAGAGCTCTATCATCCAGTCCAGAGAACCAAAGCAGGTCTGACCCTTCACTACTCAGCAAGGCACAGAGAGGCAAAGTCATCAGTAAAAGTGAAAAGGAGGTGGCCACACTGGGAGGACTTTTAAAAATATCTTCGACTGGTCTGCCAATTTTGGGGTGCTTTTATAGAGGAAGGATGAAGCTTGGGCTAGTGGAAATACAAAGAAAAGCACAGGTCAGGTTAATTTTTAGCTGGAGGTACAATCAATCAATTAATCTCCCAAATAGGAGTTTCAATTACCTGGAGTAGAATGTTTATACTTGTTTCAAGCTCTAGGTTGAGTTCTGTAATGTTCATCTTCCTGGAGTTCCTAAGAGAGATCTCAAAAAAAAAAAAGTACTAGTCAAGCTGAGAAGAAGAAAATCAATTTGATTAACAACATGGAGTCAGTCTGGTTAAAATAGGCCCTTATTACATCATTGGTTGTTTGCTCTCTAATCATTGTTCTTCTATGGTCTTTCTTATTCTATGGTCTTTCTTTTCTCCTTCTTCTCCTCCTCCTTCATTTTCTTGTTCTATTTCTCCTTCTTTTCTTCTTTTTTCTTCTTCTTTGGATGAAAAAGTAAAAGAAGATTCTGCTATTACAGAATAGCAAAAAAAACTTTTTTTTCAACGATATGGGTAAAGAGTTCTATTTCCCTAAAAGAGCACATACCATGTATAAAATAAAAATACAGAAAAGTTAAGAATTAGGCTAAAATCCTCACTTAATATATACCGAATGTCCACACTCTATAACTGAAACTGACGGGCTAAAGGTTGTACAAACAGAAGAGATGGATGTGAATGCCAGATGTGGTGTGTGTGGAGGAGTGGGGCCTGGGGAAAAACATTTGGAGGAGGGATACAAAGACAGCATTGTTGAGACAGGGAGGTAGTTTTGTTATATTTTGATCAACTCGACCGGGGAGAAATGTTCACATATTGAAATGATCGCCTTGTAAGCTAAATAATGTGATTGAATGTATTTTAAAAATGTAAATATAAATAAATAAATAAATAAACAAAAAGAATTAGGCTAAAATCCAAAAGCTCACTTGGGAAGAACCCATTTGTACAGAAATAATTTATAAAAGTCTTGCTGTTTATGAAATGAATATCTTCATCCACATGAGTGTCTTGATTTACAAAACATTCCAATTTAATTTCACCATTAACTATCTTTAACCCATGTGTATGGTTAATTGAGGAGTCAACTGATTAAATAACAGCTGTTGGCCAAAAAGTCACCTTGGGTTTGACTGATAGAAAATAAACTGTTGCGGGACCAGTAATTGGTGTAATGGCTATGTCACTAGACTCTCATGTAGTTGACCACAGTTTGAGTCCCAGACCCGGTGGCTTAAACTCATGCCAGGCACGTGTGCATGCATGCCCAAGATCCTGAGAGGAAAATGGAGGCGAAGGTATTGCAGTGTGGCCATCCCCCTGGGGGGGGTGATTTTTCACTTTCTGTCTCTCTGTCTCTCTCTGGCTTTCTGGTGAGCGCACACACTCTATAGCAAAAATCTCAAAAAAAAAAAAAAAGGAAGAAAGAAAGAAAATAAACTGTTGCATTCTTTCATGTGTTAAGCACAGTACAAATCATCCATCACACTCTGAAGAGATGCAGCAAGTTAAGAAATCATCAGTATGGCTGAATACTACAATAGTTGTTCATATATATAAAACCTGCCTTGCTGCAGTTGATGGTGGGGCTAAAGAGAATTATGTAGAACTGATATAAGAAACAGTGTAATTGACAAAATCATTCAGATCTATGGCTATTTTCACTCTAACCCATGATATTTTTTTAATTAAAAAATTATTTTTTTAATTTATTTATTTTACATTTCTTCACTATAAATCATTACATGTCAACCAATGGAACAGAATAGAGACCCCAGAAATAAAACACAAAACATACAGCCAAATGAGTTTTGACAAAGGGCACCAGACAACCCAGTTGGGAAAAGAAAATCTATTCAGCAAATGGTGCTGGAAAAAACGGGTGTCCACCTGCAGAAAGATGAAACTGGACCCCTATCTCTCACCACTAACAAATTCAACTCCAAATGGATCAAAGACATTTCTTTTTTTACTGTAACCTGCTGCTGTGTTTTTTTATTGTAAGAGAGGCATGGTTAAACCTAAAACGAAATGGTCTTACTGTCAGCCAGGTAAGCACACATACATAATCATACAGGATGCTTGGCTAGTCTTTACTTCTAGTTCAGTAAAACATTTATAACCATGTCACATCCACAGGATGACATTTCTAGGCTGCTCCTCTCCAAGCTCTCTCCTTGAACACAAGATCTCTGTGCTACTCTCTTGAGAAGAACCTTCCAGCTAACCTCCTATCAGAAGATTTCCCCTATTTCCTGACTTTCACTCTCTAACCCAACCCCAGGTCCTTGGCCCTTCTTACCCCTTTGTCCCCCTCTGTAAGGTTCTACCTATCTTGGGTCCTGCCTTCATTGTGAGTTACAAGCCATTCTGTGCCTTTCTGTGGTGCTCTTGGGTGAACAGGAAGTGGAGGGGTTAATGCGCATCCTCTCTGTAGTAAAGGAAAAGAACAAAACCCTCAGATAAAATATCTAAAAAACAGGGGCCGGCAGGTGGTGTGATAATTGAGGGTGCTGGACTCCCACGTGGCCAACCACAGTTCGAGTCCTGGACGTATTGGCTTACTTTCTCATTTTCCCTCTCTCTCTTTCTCTGTCTCTCCCTGATCAAAGTGGAAAATAATAATAATAAATAAAGTTAAATAAAATAATTCTTTAAAAAACAAACAAACAAACAAAAAGACAGTGATTTCAAGGAGAAGACTTTCTTTAAAAAAAAAGTATCTGAAAAACAACTAGCCCTTTTCAGCTTTGATTAAATCCAAGTAAACATATCTTCTAGAATTTATCTTTCTAAAAGAACCTATCTCCTTCCTAACATTGTATTACACTCTAGGGGTCCATTTGTCACAATGGCCTTTGTAAGTAATGGTCTCAATTTGGAGATAAACAGAAAAGGTCTTCATCTAACACTCAGGATGCTGAGTCACTTACATTTTGATGAACCTCATTCAGCAAGAGAGGGCCTGTTTTCAGGAACACAGGGAGAGTATGAGGTTCAGAGATGAGTAGAAAGTGGGGAAGGAATAGGAATAGCTCCCTTCTCAGCCTCTGGTCTTCTCAGCATTGTCTTTTCTGCCATTGCTTTTATAAACAAGGAATAAAACAAAGGTGGAGTAAAGGTGAAATGGATACAATTGATCCAAAGATTTCCAAATGACCAGAACACTGAGCTCTCTCAACCATAATTTTGAGGAAAATGAGCACTAGGAGCAAGAGGAAGATTATAATCACTGTAGAAAATAAACTATATAATTTGCATGTCAAAGGGTAATGAATGAATTTTGAATGAAAGGAGTGTTGTGTGAGGAGAAAGAGGTAGACTCTGGAGAAATGGAAAATGACCTATTCACAGACTCTAGACATAAAAGAACATGTGTTATATTAAACATGTATTGTCATTTTCCCTAAACTACACTAACGGTCATTTCTAGTCAAACTCATGTAGAAATCTCCCTGTTCTTCGAATGCTACACTCCAGTAAACTTGAAACAAGAGATAAATAAAGACTGAACTAGACATCAAAAATGTGAGAAATTGGGGAACCAGCAGTTAGTGTAATGGCTATGTCACTGGACTCCCACGTAGTCAACCGCGGTTCACATCCCAGACCTGGTGGCTTAAAACTCATGCCGGGCGCGTGTATGTGCATGCCCAAGATTCCAAGAGGAGAATGGAGGAGAAGGGATTGTGGCGTGACCATGCCCTCTGCGGGGGGTGATTTCTCGCTGTTTCTATGTCTCTCTCTGTCTGGCGAGCGCACGCGCCCTATAGCGAAAACCTCTCCAAAAAAAAAATAATAATAATAATAATAATAAAAAAAAAAATAAAATTTAAAAAAATGTGAGAAATTGGAAATAAACAGCTTACCAAATAATCAAATTAGCCGACAATATTTTGGGCTGGGATTCCAAAATTCTGAAAAGGGGATTCCAGCCCTGGGTTCTATGTATACCTGAACCTAGTTCCAAGGTACTTCAATAAAGCTGGGGCCCACTCAGAAATATCTGATAGAAATACTCTTTCACTGACCCAAAGACAAAGGAATAACTGTTGGTTTACCTGGGACTCTGAGTGGGAAGAAAATCACCACAAATATTGGAAACCAAGATTGTGCCTCACAAGAGTGAAGGATCTGAATTTATATTATCTTCAAGGAGAAGGCATTCAAGGCAAATAAATTAGCATGAAAAATAGTCACAAGCTGGTGACAATCTACTAGATCTCAAGTAAAACTTTTCTATATAGACAATTCAATCAAAGGGTACTTCTATAGCCTAACTAAGAACAACTACAGCTGGAGTTAAGTTCATACTCAAAGGTTACACACCTAACCAGCGAGGAAGTACTGACTCAACAAATGTAAGAATTTATAATTAAGAATGTTAAATAAGGACTGGTTTTTGAAAGAGTCCCTAATAAAAATTTTTGAAATGTTCAAAGAGGTGTCAAAGAATAAGAGAGAACCATAAGTGAGAATAGAAGAGTGTAAAACTTGAGGCAGAAGAGACCAGGCCTTCAGAAGAAGGGTCCACATGGCTCCTGCGAACTAGATATTTCAGGGCACAGGAGAAATGAAGATTTTCTGCTCATAATTCAGCCTCCAGCAAACGAGCTAGCGTGATCACAACAGAACGGCAGAGAGATTCTAGATCACCTCTGTCTGCTTGCTCCTGAACGTTCAGATTGAAGTTCAAGAAATTGAAAGAAACACACTATCCATCAGATGACAAGAAATCACCACTGGATCACAAGAAATATGGGAAAACAAGAAAATACCTCTTCTTTATCCACAAGCAGTTCAGTGAAAATCATGGAACTGTCTGATAAGGAATTCAGATCATTCATAATGTCGAAGCTAACAGAGATGGAAGAGAAGAGAGATAATAAACTGCTAAAGAGAAAGGAGAAAGAAGCTGACGAGTTCCAGGAGATGAGGAAATTCTTGCAATATCTAAAAGAGGAATAACACACTTTACAAAAGAATCAAACGGAACTGTTAGAGATGAAGTCTATAATACAGGAAGTCAAAATCTCCCTTGAAAGTATTAAAAGCAGACTAGATCATTCAGAAAATAGAATCTCAGATAGAACTGATATAAGAAACAGTGTAATTGACAAAATCATTCAGATCTATGGCTATTTTCACTCTAACCCATGATATTTTTTTAATTAAAAAATTATTTTTTTAATTTATTTATTTTACATTTCT